ACGTCACACTGAGAAACCAACAGACCCCTACAATGAAGTACAAAAATCAAGTACAAATCTTAGTGGTTTCTGAACAGTGTATTAGTGGCAACTTAAGAGTGGGTGCTGCGAGCCCACAGCAGCAATCACACGTCGGCGCTTTCTTTCCAGGCCACTTTCGGCCGGAGTTCATCCGCCCACCGCCCCCGCTGCATATCTGTGAGGATGAACTGGCCTGGCTCAACCCCACAGAGCCCGACCACGCGATTCAGTGGGATAAATCCATGTGCGTTAAGAACAGCACCGGGGTGGAGATCAAGCGCATCATGGCCAAAGCCTTCAAAAGCCCCTTATCTTCTCCCCAGCAAACACAGGTATGTATGAAAAAAAGCCATCACAAGCTGGCTTTTGTTTTCCGAAGTGACACGGACAGTAAATGACAGTTCTGGAGGCAGGGACCCTCAGGGGTAAGTCTCAAAGGTCTGAATAGCTGAGCTTGGTTGTGCCCCTCCACCTATGGTATTGTGGCTCTGCTGAGACAGGTCCACAGATGTAAATTTCAACTTCTGTTCGTGGTCAGTGTGTCCCCAGCATGTCTGGGAGAGGTAGAGGGGTCTTCCTTTTGTGGGCCTGCCCTGCTGTGCACAGGCACACCCTCTATGTACCCTTGCACAGAAGTGGGACAGTCACAGCTGGCTCTGGTGGGCCTGATGGTAGCTCCAGGACAGGCAGGGCCCCCACAGAAGGCTCCACCTGTGAACTGCACTCAGTCTGCACGGCTTAAAGTTAGAATTAAGAGGCAGATAACTGCTCCAATCCAGTTTAACTTCAAAAATATTTTCAAAGTCAAGTAATTGGTAGCTGTATTTATATTCTGCTTTATTAGACCATCCTCAAGAATGCAGCTCAGTGGCATAGTGCCTACTTGGCAAGCGCGAGGTTGTGAACTCGATTCCCAGTGCAAACACACACACACACACACACACACACACACACACACACACACACACACACCCCAACCATCCTGAAACAAAGTAGGGAGGAAAAATATAGAAAGTCTAAAAGAAGATACTTAGCCAGAAACTGGAGTTCAGAGTGTGGTGGGACACTGCAGGGGACTTGAGTGTCCCTGACCCCACAGTCTCTGTTCTCTAAGGGCCCAGGGTATGCTGCTGTTGCGGCTGTCTCCTAATGCTCTGTGGTTTTGGGGAGAACTTGTAATAATTCAGTTACTTCAGTTATAATGAATGACAGAAGCCCATCCACAGAGAGCTAGGGGACCGATACACTGTCACCAGCAGATGGCACCTGTCCAACCACAGTATCTGGTTTAGCTTTCTGTCTGGGAGGAATCACTAGCAGATTTGTACATTGTCTCATATATTTTTACTTTGGTCCTGTTATACTTCAAATTTTAGAATGTCAAGATGTGATAAAAGGTTTGAAGAAACCCAATTCACTGAAAATGCTTTTACATAAAATATTTATTTTGCCTGCAGGAAAAAAACCTTCCAGTTTGACTCAGTTCTTTAAAAATAATTATTTTTTAGCTGCTTGGCGAGTTGGAGAAAGACCCCAAGCTTGTCTATCACATTGGCCTCACTCCCGCCAAGCTTCCGGACCTGGTGGAGAACAACCCGCTGGTCGCTATAGAGATGCTGCTGAAGCTCATGCAGTCCAGCCAGATCACCGAGTACTTCTCCGTGCTGGTCAACATGGACATGTCCTTGCACTCAATGGAAGTTGTGAATCGGTGAGTGTCCTGCTCCTCAGGTGTGTGCAGATGTAGGGATCCTGACTGAAGGGTGTCCTGCTCTTCACCGAGGACGACCCCTCAGGAGTAAGCCGAGCCCCAGTGTTGGGGCGTGTGAAGCTAGCACGCTTGGGAGGACCTCAGAGGCAGGATTCCAGCATGCTTCATACTAGTAAGTAAATGAAAACTAGATCCTGTGTGTTCATAAGAACGAACTGAACTGCTGAAATTTACATTCCCGTGTAACTGAATCCCCTGCTGCTAGGTGGATTTTATGGTTTTCTTCTTGGAGGCTAATAGCTGTGGCATGGAAAAGTACGGGGCTCCTTGGCAGACTGACTGCTTCTTACTCGGCTGTACTGACGCTCAGGAAAGTGCACTTCTGCGTGCGCAGGCTGCAGACATCATCGACATGTCTTATGTCTGTGTTTTCAGTAATTTAGGAATTAGATGGCCTTGAGGGGGCGTGTCACTGCCTTGCAGTCCAGGCAAGCACAGTTTGAATACCTTTTTGAACACTTTGTCTGAACTGGATTTTATTGTGGTGTAGAGGATTGAACTCAGAACCTCGCACATGCTAAACTAGGACTCTACCACTGAGCTACATCCTTAGTCTTTTTTAATTTCATACTCAGGGACCTATGTTCAAATTATTGCTTAAGGGGCAGGGAAGATGGTTGAGTAGAATAAGCGCTTCCCTGTCAACCCCCAGTTCCACCAAAAAATAAATAATTTTTTTTTTTTTTTTAATTATTGCTTAACATGTTCTGCTGGCTCAAACTACCAGTGGTACCTATGTGACTGTCCCATCTGATGACTAGTGCCACCAGTCATTTTATTAGTAAAATTAAGAAAAAGCTGCTGGATGGGCAGTCAGGCAGATACCACTAGAGGGGCAGACTCCCAGCAGTGACTTACTGAATTACGGCTGTTTTATATTAGTAATTGTCGTATGTAGTGCTGTGTATAGACTTAAAAGAGTTGTCACTAATGAGTAAGTAGATGTGGCTTTGGGATTTATGTCCCAAGAATGTAAAACTAAAAAATCAGGATCAGTAACAGAAAACTATAGCAACTTTCTGAGCTATGGTAGGAAATGACTAACAGCCCTATTTTTCTTTTGTGCAACAGACTAACGACAGCCGTTGATCTACCTCCTGAGTTTATTCACCTTTATATATCAAACTGCATCTCTACCTGTGAACAAATTAAGGATAAGTATATGCAGGTAGTGAAAGTTTATGGAAGTTTCATAAATCCTACTGGGAAAATGTGTAAACTAAAACTTACGTTTTGTTTTTCAGAATCGTTTGGTGCGTCTTGTGTGTGTCTTTCTCCAGTCCTTGATCCGCAACAAAATTATTAACGTTCAGGACTTGTTTATTGAAGTGCAAGCCTTCTGTATTGAGTTCAGTAGGATTCGAGAAGCTGCAGGCCTGTTCCGGCTGTTGAAGACACTGGATACAGGGGAAACGCCTTCAGAGACCAAAATGTCAAAATAAGAACTCTCTAGAACCATCTTATCCATTGTTCAGCTGTATTGTGATTAGTTTTTAAAGCTCAAATTTTTTAAAATTCTAGAGTGGACTGCTTGCTCTAATGCATATAAACAACACTTTCTCTGCCTAAAGCAACACTAGGTACTTTTCCTGTAGACGAACTTTTGGTGAGCACCCGAGCGCGTCCTCAGGTGTCTGGCTGACAACTATCCTCGGCAGACCCATCATCCCCAGGGTCACCGGACGCCAGGAGAGGACTCCTTCTCTTTTTATGATAATGCTAAGGAACAAATTGCCTGTCTTTGGTTAAAAGGCACGATGTAAGCTTCTGCTAAGTCAATCCAGTTTTCCTAGGGTTCCTGTGCTTTGCATGTCGCAGTGACAGCAGCTGAGCATAGCTCCTACTCAGGAAGGAGCCCGAGCCAAAGCTGTGCTGCTCCTGGGGACTTTCAGAAACAGACCACAAAGCAAACACGTCTTGGAGGCCTCAGTTCTCAACATGGGACTCTCTAGGATCCTTTTTTTTAAGCACTGTTTTCTGTTTTATTCCTCCGGTCCCGTTAGTCCGAGATTACCATTTTTGGGTCTTACTTTTAATGGAAAACATGAGTAATGCTTGGGAGGTAGTGTGCCCCAGGGAGTTGCTCCCCACCGTGAGGTCCATGTGTGTGGGGTTTGGAGATGGGAGCAGGGGTGACATCTCGCGCTTGTCACCCCTGTGACTCTGGGTAATGGTGCCTTCTATTAAAGTTATTTTTTATTCACTGTCAGCAGATGTGTTTTTATTTGAAGAAATCATGAAAGGTTTCCTTTTACAGAGGTACTCCCGAGGCATATTTACAGGAAATAGCCTGTGAAGGAATCAAAGGTTTTGTGTGTTTGCTGGGAGGAAATACAGGAGTGACCTAAGCCTGTGCGACAGGAGTTCCTTCAAGCCCCTGAGAGGCTAGCAGCAGGGCTCCATGCCCAGAAGCGTGCGCCCTGCTTTGCAGTTAGGAGCACTGGTAAAGAACAGCTTGTTCCAGGAACACTTCCACGATAGCAATTTCGGTGCTGGCCCCTGCTGAAGCGGTGCACCTTGGGCTCTGCCTGCTGGCTTCTTTAGCAGAGCACGCCGCAGGCCAACCGCATGCCAAGTGTGCCTGTGCAGGGTGCACACAGCATGGTCACACTTGGCACCAAGTACAAAAACAGCGCGGCACTCCTGTGACCAGGGAGTGGGTACTTGAGGGCCTTGTCCCCCTGTTGACTTAGGAACCTGCTTTCATCCCCATCACTGCCAAAAACCTTAGAGCAAACTGTTGAGCAACTCAAATTCTTCACATCTGCCAAAGGGTTACATGTGATGGTTTTTTTTTTTTTTTTTTTTTTTTTTTGGCAGAACCAGGAATTAAACTCGGGTCCTTACACTTGCCAGGCAAGCACTTATTCTATGAGCCATCTCCCCAGCCCCCTGGGCAAATTCACCTTTGAAAAGGTTACTTACGAGAGCCAGCCAAATAGCTCAGCGGATTTAAGTGCTTGCAAACAGGCTCAGGGGCCGGGGGTTCAATCCATAGGCCTGCCACAACAGCCCTGCCCCGGGGCACACTGGTGGCACGTCCAGTAATCCCAGCTCTTGGGAAGCTATAAACAGGCAGATCACTGAGTCTGATCTAGCAGTGAGACCATGAACACCTTACAGACCCTTCCCTAAAAAACACAAAAAAATAAATGAAAAGATTAATTATGAAGAATAGTAACTAGAGGGATTCTTGGAAAACAAAACTTGAGTCATCACTGAGAGGTTTAATTTTGGGGTGCAGTGTTGGGGACTAAACCCAGGGACACACATGCCAGGCAAACACTACTGCTGAGCTCTGTTCCCAGGCCTCTTTAAGTTTTAGGCAGGGTCTCTTAATTGTCCAGGCTGGACTTGAACTTGGGTCCTTCTGCCTCAGCCTCCTGAGTAGGCAAGTCCAGCACAAAAGTGTCTTCAGTTAGGCATACTTAGAAGAAAAAGACAAACTGGTCACAATCAGCCTGTATCTGTAGTCCCAGCTGGTCAAAGGCCGAGGCAGAAGCAGCATTTGAATTCAAGAGTTGGAAACCAGGCTCAACAGCATAACACATCTCAAAAAAGACCATTTACTTACAACTAATCCTGGGATTCAATTCACTTTTAAACATAAAGGAGCATGACTTCACCAAGATTAAACAAAATGCCTTGAATTTTTGGGAGTTTTTAAGTTCCAACTTTACTATCTTCAAATCACCTGTTGAAGAAAGGCCAGCAATAAGTAATAGCATAGAAGTTATTTCTAAGGAAAATAGTCTGGGATCCTAAAACATAACCACTCCAATAATTCTCATAGTATTTATTTATGTGACCAGCTTTACAAACATAGTAGCACTCAATCTGCACAAGCTCACTGACAGCTAGTTCTGAGCAGCACACTTACATATTTTAAGAGACCTAAGTTCCACAGGAATGATACTCATGTAAGAACAGAGTGGGGCTGGGAGCTAGCTCGGCGGTCTAAGCACCTAGCTGGCAAGCGCTAGGCCCCAAGTTTGATCCCCAGTACTGCATCCTGTGTTGACCTGGAACCTGCTGGCCACCGAAACCACAGGTGGCGGTAATATCTATAATCCCAGTGCTAGGGAGTTGAGACAGGAGGATCACTGAGTCCAACCTGTGTAGCAAGATCCTGCATCAAAAAAAAAGAACCGAGGGGCTGGTGAGATGGCTCAGTGGTCTAAAGCACCTACTTAGAACAAGCTTAGCAAAGCACAGGGACCACGGTTCAATCCCCCAGCACCACATGCCAGCCAGCCCCGCCCCCTGGTGGGCTAAGCTGGCCACACACACACACACACACATAAATAAATTAAAAAAAATTTTAAAAAAAGAAAAAAAAGAACCGAGTATCTGGAAAGCTTTGTTTACTACTGGGATTCTAACAACTTCTGCTTACTGATTTTATTTCCTAGCTGGTCTTTTGCTGTTCCGTAATTGTTACTGTTCACATCAGTCAAGTGACTGGGGTAATTAAAAGCGCCCATGTGACCCCATATCCAAGCGGCCATGCCCTGCTTTCTCACGAGCCCATGACAGACACCCACACCTCATCAGAAAGAATAGGCTGACTTTTTTTCTAACATTTTAAATGAACCTGGCACAAGCAGGTTTTTCGTTTTGGTTATTTGAGCCAGGGTCTTGCTATGTAGTTCAGGCTGGTCTCAAACTCACACCGATCCTCCTGCTGCAGCCTCCCAAGTGCGGGGATTAAAGGCCTGTACTACCACGCCTGACAGGTTTATCAATTCATAGCTATTTTTATACTGTGTTATATACAAAGAGGGCATAGCTGATTAGCACATGGTAGACTTTTCACTTTTATAACAAGGACAAGCATTTCAAAAATGAAACACTGGGAAGCTTTTAAGACCTCAGACTAGTAGCTGGGAAGGTGTATGTGGCTTCTCTAATGAGTGGTTATCTCACAGCACAGCACGTGTTCCACCACAGAACTAGCTTGTGTCTAGAAACCGGGGCATCGGCTTCCGACTCCACGTAATCACTTCAGGATCTAGGCTGCTCACACACCTCCCGGTTTAGCCTCACCCCCCAGGGACCTTACGCCCAGCGTTCCATCCACACGGACACGGACACACACGGACACCTGCAGCTCTAGCAGCCCACAGTTCTAATGCCTCGCTTAGGCCCTGCTCGGTTGGGCATGAAGTGCCCACTCTGGCACTACTGAGGTCAGACTTGTGTTTCGCTTCAGGAGGTTTTGTCACCGTGCACCCACACGGAGAGCAAACTGTAGATGGGGACACTGCAATTCGGCCTTTTGCGTCATCATTCCTCAGCAGGCACAGCGCACAACCCTGCAGGCGAGGGCTGGCATGCTCACGACCCCAAAGGAGCTGGCACATGAGAGATCATTACCTGCTGGTGGTAGCCTGCGCTCACGCCGGGGTGGCCATGTGTTTTCCGCTGGGAAAGCGTGCCCAGCAGAGCGGACAGAGGGAAGAGCCAGGAGCAGCAGCCACGCGGGCTCCAGGGTCACACGCACGCCACCTCCTTCACCCTGGCACCTGCTGCTTCATACTGTACTCAATGATGGCGTTCGCATCTGTAAGACGTAAAGTGGTCACTGCCATCAACAACTGAAGCAGAGCTTGGCTGTGTCGCAATTTCACGTAGGTCCCCACATTCCTGGCATCTTCCCAACTTCAAAGTGTCAGCAAAGAATCTGGTAACGATCATGAAAGCTGTTCCTACAGCTGCCAGCTAACAAATCCCACTTCCGTAACAAGCGCACACAAGCCCCCGTGCTCTCCTTGAATCCACAGCATATTTCCCTTGTCTGTCTCTTCCAAGACAAAAGAGTCAGAGGCCCGTCAGGCACACAGGACCTGTGTGTGCACTGCCTGCACTGAGCACAACAGGTGGCCTTGAAGTAGTGCAGCTGTATGGACCAGTGTGTGCACTGCCTGCCCTGAGCACAATAGGTGGCCTTGAAGTAGTGCAGCTGTATGGACCAGTGTGTGCACTGCCTGCCCTGAGCACAACAGGTGGCCTTGAAGTAGTGCAGCTGTATGGACCGGTGTGAGGCTGTTTGCTACAACGCAGGCTCAAGCCCAGACCAATTCCCTATTTCAGTAGCTCCTCACACCGAATCTGTTGTATTGTTTACCGCAGCAAAACTATGCATTAAGAATTTTACTATGATACAAGGAGCTGCAATCACAGTGAGCACAACAAACTGCCAAAATAAGATTTATAGAAGGCCTGCCTATTAGCACAGTTGTTTAAGTGACTGCTTAAACAAAGCATTCAGGCTCAGGTTGCTGTGGTTCAATCCCCAGATCCCCAAGTCATACTAGAAATGCCCTGAAGGCATCCTGAGCCATCAAAAAAACAAAAACAAGATTTATAGACACCCAACCTAGATATGCTTATAGGATACAATTCTCTAGTTTTTGAATTATACTTTTCTCAATAAACATTTATTTTTCCAATAAAGATATACCCAACAATTAGTTTAAAAGCAACCAAGGGTGAAAGTTCTATATTCTAAAAGATCACTGCCTCACAGTCCTGACTGCTTGACCCAGAAGGTGAGAAAGAGCACATCTATCTGGTGCTAGGGCCTTGCCGCACACGGGAGCTTCCCCGACCTACAGGGTGAGCAGCAGGCGAGCACGGGGCAGGGGCTGAGAGCGCCACGCATGGCGGGCCCAGCCCACAAAGGCTCCTGCTGGCAAACAGGAGCAGGTGGCAGGACTTTGTTTTTGCTTTACTCTCTGCATCGAGGGACAAACCACCTCGGGCATATTTTCCGGAATCCCAGAATGAATTACGTTCATGAACTGAGGTCCCACCATATGGAGTCTCCTTAAAAACTACCTATCAAAATTGGGGGTCAGGGGTATATAGCTCAGCGGCACAGTGCTTGCCTGGCAAGTGACAGGTCTTGAGTTTGGTTCTTGCACCTCTGCTAAAAAAAATTGATTATTTTTTTCTAATAAAAATTCATCTAGTATCCTTTTAAAAAATATTTTTATTGAGAAACAAATAGCAATGAGACAGTTTCACAACCAATTACTAGTACATTTCAATAATTGATACATTGCCTATTGTTGCCCTAGTGGTTATTCATCGTACAAGATGCAGACCTGATATCCTGTCTCAAACACTATTAGAACAAGCCTCTCTATTCACTGAATTAAGAGAATGGAGCTGTATCTCTATCCTAACTATTCTGAGTATACAGATACAAAATGGTGGTTCATTTGTATCCCCCTTTTTTGGTTAGTTTTGTCAGAGAAGGGCATTCCATTGTCATTTAAATACGGTAGGTGCATGAATTCAGCAAAATATCCCAATACAGTCCAATAGTCCACAATAGCAGTAGGTTTTCCGTAAGACTGTCAATGTCCGAAGTTATTGACTTGAGCATGTGACAGCTCATCATATTAATATGGCTTTACTTTTTACACTTCATTTTCATACTTTTCTGCTGGATGGTTTAGACCAAGAAAGAGCAAGACCTATACAACAAGAAATGTAACTTTGTATCTGATAAGGTCAAATCCTTTCAGGATTTAACCTAAAACCCTGTACCTCAGTTTATACATCCTTTATCAGTGTCAGCCATATGGATGAGTCACGGCCATTGCTTGACCAATTTGCTCTGTGAAAGCCTGAGAGAATGTTTTCTCTCCATGTGACTCTCCTTAGGCACACTCTGTATCATCGATCACTTTCCTCTGTGGCCCCAAAATCTCCTTGATCAGAAAATTTGGCACATAACTGAGTTACAGGATGTTACAGTAAAGGTTCTCCTATTTCCTGAGTCCTTACTGACCTTGAAAGGCTAGGGCCAAAATGTTGGCTGTCCTTGTAGCCTTTCTTTTTCTTTAATTTTTAGTCTGCAAACGTAAGAAGTTAACCCTCCAGAAGAGCAGCTTAATGATATTATTACCCTATAACATAGGAAGTTGAGCTTAACCTATCAGTCTGAATATCAAACATCTTAGACATAACATGGAACAGGTATTTTCCATTAAGTATTGATATGTTAAACTTCGACTCCCTCCAGAACATGAAGAAAAAAGATTAAAAAGAAAAAAATATTTAAAAAAATGAGAATAAGCATTTATATATTTTTACACAGAAATTTAGAAATCTAACAATATACAGCCTTGTAGCAGGACAGTCCTGTGACTTTTTGTCTCATGTTTTCATTTATTACATTTTTTTTTTAAACAAAACTTTACTTGAGAGACAGTATGGCCGTAATTGGTATATCATGACAAGCAGTACGTAATTAGAAGACCAGAATGGCAGGCATTCCAAGCATGACCCTAACATTACACATTGTTTTCTCTACTGCAGTAGTATCCCTTTAATTGTAGATTGTTACAACTGAAACCAATACATGACATATGGCAGAAAATAGGGAATACTTAAAATTTATTACAGTAAAAGATGCACTGCTATTAACTCCCCTCAAAATACTCTCCTGCATTTCAAATTCAGTGATCCCATTTCTTGTCGCTTTCTGTAGCAGTTGTGGAGTTTTCTTTCCTGAGTGTTTCTCATGGTCAATTTAATTTTGGGTAAAAACTAAAGTCATCTGGTGCCACGCTCACTGAGGAGGGGACGCCACAAATCTGTGTTTTGTCAGATGGTGCTAAGCAACAAGATTCGCTGCAGTTCTGGTCGTATGTTACCAAGATGCACAGGAGAGAGACCTACATTCAGCTAACCTGTACCTCTAGCACCTTCTCCATCTTCTTTATTTTGATCCACTACCTCAAACTGTACTGTCTCAGTCCTATAGGGCACCTTGAGCCACCATAGCAACCTGGAAGGCAGCACAGGCGACGGGATGGCAAGGGGTTGCAGAGGCTGCTTTGGAAGGGCACTCACAGGCCAAGGCTCTCTGAGACTTGGCAGTTCAGGCTGGCCTTGAACTTGCTGCTATCCTCCTGCCTCTGCCTCTCAGCACTGGGATTACAGGTGTGCCCCACCAGGCCTGGGAATAGTTTAAAGAAATTACATAAAATCCTGGGTGTGGTGGCACACACCCGCAATCCCAACATTTGAGAGGCTGAGGTAGGACTATCACCAACTCAAGCATACCCTGAACTATACAGCAAGTTCAAAGCCTGCCTGGGCTACATAGCAAGAGCCTATACCAAAAAACTAATCCAAATTAACACCAGAATCTGAAATGAACAGTAGCACTTCCATTCATGGAATTGCTTCCCACGATCCTGGTCTCAGGCTGGACGAGAACCAAATCAAATTTAATGGTTGGGTTTAACACTGACCTCACGGGGGACGCTGATTCAGTTCTGATCCAGCTGGGTCTGAGACCAGAGCCGTGGCACCCCTGAGATTCTAGGCAGCAGACACACACCACCTATGCATCTACAGTTTCACATAGTAGGTAGAAAAGCAGGATACAGAACAGCTTAAGTCGCGTGCCCTTACCCTTAAACAGGGGAGACCACCTGGAAAATTGCTTATCAACAGTCTGAGGTGGTACCCTTAGGTGTCAGATTATGGCTTTACTTTTATGCTCATGGCTTTTGCATTTAGGAGCTTAAGGATGCCATGCTTAGAAAGCCCTGCCAGTCTCTTACCTAGCAATGCTGTCTTTGCTGGCATCCTTGGCACACCTGGCGGGGCACTGAGCGCAGCTCACTGGGGGATGGTTGTGAGGGAGGTGACGGCATGGGGCTGCCCATGCTTCTGCCTGCATCCAGGAACGGCGCCCTCAGTGGCTGAGCAGCAACACTCCGCGGGCCGGACTCTGCAGCAGGCAGCTCTTGCCCACCATCAGGCTCTCCCTGTAGAACTGCAACGGACAGAAATGCTTTTCCTGAGTGACAAGGCTGAAGTCTGCCTATTGCTTTGCTAATAATCTGTGGCAGATGGCATTTACTTTTGAGCAGGAATTTGGAAAGACCCACATTTCTTCCAACAAGCAGCACTCTAATGCCTACACATTTTCTCTTTGTGAAGCCAACGTCCCCCCTTTGATAGAGCAATGTCACCTTTTATGTTACTTCTCAATAGAAAGGGCAGCTTTCTTACTCTCCTGCCTCCTTTGGGAGAGGACAGGAACTGGTCTGCTTTAGAAGTGCCACCAATCGCCATGCCCAAGGCCTGGGGCGGGCTGTATCCCTACAGAGGGACACCACTAATGTACCCCTCCATCCTCCCAGGCACCTCAGCAGTGGGAGGGCCTCCTTTGTGTGACCTCTTGCCACAAGCCCAAGAGTCCCAGGGCCCAGTTTGGATCTCACACATCTGTGGCATCACTGTATTAATCCTCCTCCTACGTCTTCCTCTTTGGGGAGGGTGGCATTGTTCACAACATGGGCCCTCGCACTAAGCAAACTTATTTGAAATCTCAACAAATTTCTCTGGCACTACATTTTGAAACCCAGGCACAAGGAGAACTGGTATTTTATTATTATTTTTGTATATTTTAGTAAGGGTCTACAGGGTCTCACTACTTCCTTTTCCTCTCTTTCTCTTTGGGAGAAAAGGTTCCACTATACAGTGCAGGCTGGCCTTGGACTCACTTTGTAGCCAGGTGGGCCTCAAACTCTCAGGGATCCTCCTGTTGGGATTGCAGGTGTTTCCTACTACCAAGCCTGGCTTAACTCACTATTTTTAAAAAAGGCCCAACATAAACAAGCATAAAGAAAATTTCATTACAAAAGGAAAGTTGAAGAACCCACTGAAAAAAAAGGAACATTTACTTTTTTGGGGGGTCGTACTGGAACCAAACCAGGAAGTCCACACTCTAAACACAGGCTACTAATGTCCACACCGCTCCCCCATAACCAATTCCTGCAATGAAGTACCAGTGAGAAAGGAGTGTGGATGGGTGTAACACCCCTCAGTATATCAAGGTCCTAGAAGAAAAGCGTCGTGCCCACACCTCAAGCCAGAAAGGGCACTTTCCATGGGCACAGCAGCAGGCTCCCTGGGAGATGGCCCACCCTGCTCTCTGCCTGAGCACAGATCAGAGGCAGGCCTGTGCAGGCCTTGTCATTCCTGTCTGGAGAGGGACAAAGTGTACAAACTGATCCGGACTCAAAAATGTCTAATTCCCCACACAACAAACATTTATTACATTCCAATTAAAGTTATAGGATGGGTAGGGAGCTTGCGGGTTAGCGCAGTTGTTTAAGCGCCTGCTTTGGCAAACCAGGTCAGGCACAGGGGACTGCGGTTCAATGCCCAGACCCACCCTTAAGGCAGCCTGAGCCAGCCAAAAAAAAAGGATGGGTGTGGGTGGTAGTGCAGGTTGTAATCCCAGCAAGCAGGAGGCTGAGGCAGAAGGATCACTGCACGTCTGAGACAAGCCTGGGCTACAAAGAGAGCTGAGGGCCAGCCTATACTGCATAGGGAGACACTGTCTCAAAAAAAAAATTACTTTCAAAAGTCTTTTGAATACTTAAAATGAAAATAAAATTAAGAATATTGGGGCCAGGGAGATGGCTCAGTGGAATAAGCACTTCACTTGCAAGCGCAAGGGCCTGAGTTTAATTCCTAATTCCATAAAAAAAAAAAAAAAAAAAAAACCCAAACAAACAAAAACTCACTTAAGAATATCCACAATAATTTCAAGCAATACATAGGATCATCTATAAGCTGTCTGCTTAAAAGCACAATGATGTTTTCCACAATTACCTGACTTCCACAGGGCAAGCCAATATGTAAAAAATACTGCACGCAGTAAAGAGAATCGCTACGGTGATGAACGCAGGCACAAAAGGCTGGCGACTGGCGCTGAGCTGCACACAACTGGTTCCAACCTGTATGGTCACTGTCACAAGGGTTCCTTTTGGGACCAGATCGACCACTGTATAACCTGTTCCTGCATAAAGAACAGAACAGAAAGTTAGAGAAAGTTCGGAGTACTACGCTCATCAATACACACATTTGAAAACTTTGATAAAACAGGTAATTTTAAGGAAAAATAACAATTACCAAAACTAGTTCAAAAATACCACCACCAAACAAACCAGACTGATCACATTTAGGAAAAGCAGAGTAAACCACCAAGAACTACCCCCCAGAAAGTAGAACATCATTCCGTTTCACAAGCAAAGTTTATTGAGATTTAAGTTATTCCAAGTTGACGGAAGGAAAAAAAAAAAAAAAGATCTGAAATCCTTCCTAAGACTGTAAAACCAAACACGGTATTTAAAAAAAGAGAAGAGCCAGGTGTGGTGGTGGGTGCCTGTAATCTCAGCGGTCAGGAAGCTGAGGCAAGAGGAACAATCTGGACTGCACATGAGTCCAAGGCCAGCCTGAACTACACAGTGAGGCCCTGTCGCCAAGAACAGAGAAAACAAGGGGAGAAGAAAAGGAAGTCATTTGCTTGCAGAAAACAAAATGCAAAAGGGTTTCTCAAGCATCAGCTTTACTTACATATGATTCATATATCATACAAAAAAACACCCACTTAAAACACGATTCAAAACAACACGACCAACAACCCCCCCCCCCCATTCAGGCTCTAGACCTCCAGCTGGACTCCTGGGGGGCACTATTATGGGCTCTAGGTCTTCAGCTGTATTCTTTGGTCTTTAGTGTGTACACAGATTTCCTGTACTCTTTGTATATGATTCTTTGGGCGACTATATAAAATAATCTCATAAAATACATGACCTGTATTGTTCCCCTTGCAAACTCCCAGCGCACAACAAGGTCTAGTAAAAGCATCCTACAAATTTGCGGGAGAGCCTTTCTCCAGTATCTTCAGTGCCGCACTCCACTTTCTTCTCTCTTTCTGGAGGGAAAATTCCCAGGCATGTCTTAGGATCTGACGGACCTTGGACTTTGGGATTTCCAGCAACACTGGGCTCTCCATGTAGCTGATGTTGGTGAAGCTTCTTAGACCCCCCTCTACGCTACACCTTCTGTAATTTCTTTATAGGACTCTGCCTCACCAGCCAAACACTTCCTGGCTTGTATTGCTTTTAAAATTAGTTTCTGTAGCTACAATACAAAAGTGACAGCCAACAGAAGGATTTCTGCATGAATAAGCCAATGACCCCGGCCTATCTTCCAGGACTACAGCTGAGGTGACCCAGTAAGAAAAATCATGGAATCTGTAGCAGGGGAAATAGTACACCAAATACAAATGTAAGAATCTTAGACATTTGAAGTCATTACACAGAACAGACGTTTTCATGCTGGGCTAGGGTGGAGTTAGGAGGTTTTGGAAATAAATGCAATTCATTTTTGAGCATTAAAATTTTTTAAATTATGTTTTATGAATGTGGTACTACAGTCAAGAATTTTTATTCACCTGTGAAAGACTGATATTAATTCCCATAGTCCGCCAACCTAAAGTGTAAAATGTGCATCTCTACTATGTGACTTCCAAAGTCCAGGAATCTCTTCTCCTCCCTCCGCCTCTCTTTTCCTTTCTGCTTGAGGCAAGGTCTCACCATGTAGTTCAGGCTGGCCTTGAGGCACCATCCAGATGAAGCATTTCTCACATATCTTTGAAACCACCCTTGTCCCCACCCCAACTCAGTCCAGTCCTTCCTCTAAACTTAGCTCCAAGCCTGTACTTTGCCCTCAATACAAAACTTCAAGCAACCTAAGTGTCATTCTTCAAGAGTCACACTGAGACTTCAGCTAACAGAGTGTGCTGGCCACTCACAATATCTGCAATAAGGTCAACACTCTGTAAAAAGACTGTTCCAATGGCTTTCATCAATCTCTACAACCTTGCGCTACCTATGGCCTTCCTTGATGGTTCTGTGGCCCATGTGCACACAATTCTGCCAAATTCAAACCATTCTTCCTGAAAAGTTCTGTTTATTGCTTCAGGTAGACCACAAGCCTCTCAAGGGCAGGCAGCATGCATAGAACTTCCAATCCCTGTTCCCCCAGCAGTGACATTACCGGTCCCAAGGAGCTACTCAATAGTCTGCCAAAGAAAACAGAACTACCTTTGGGCATTAGTGAAACCCTTTCCTGCTATTCTGATAGGATATTATTCCAGTCACAAAATTTTTTACAAGCCACAAGGAAAAAAGATTTTAGCATCTAGTTCTGGATTCCAGTGAGACAAGCAATGGCTTTCACAAAAACTGGGAAAATTCTTTGTGGAACTTGGTAAGAGATAATCCTAATCAGCCTTCCATTGCACAAAGAACACCACCTCTACCTATTTCACAGAAATCCAGTGTGACACAGAACTCGGGGAATGGCTGAACCTGTGGGGCTCCTTGCGCTGTTCCGTTCTGCTAAACTCAGGACACCTAAGGTGGAGGTCAAAGCTGGTTCCTCCTGATTTCTAAGTTCCACTCTCAAAGGCACAACGTATTTGTCCCCTGTACCTATGTGGACAAGGGTGTGGTCAAGGGTAGGGCCACTGCTTTCCACCTCTGCAGTCCCTAGCACTACCCTTCATAGTTCTAACTGGACTAGCCCAACAGTTTAACTGACCCTGTCCCCAGTCGCACCACTCCTCAATTAATCTCCCTTTTAAAGTAGGAGGTTCAAAATGCTGGGTGATTTTGCCACTCCCTGGCAACACTGGAGCCAGTTTTGGCTACGGTAATGGTGGCTGCACTAGTGGGCTCTAGGAGGTGGTGGGGCAGGAAGGCAGAGGAACATCCGGATGCAACAGGACAGTCCCTACAACAGAACTCTCTGGCCATAGATGCCTGTGTAATTTTGGCCAGTTTTTAACTTCTGTCTCGGCTCACTTCCCTACAAGCCTAAGGGCCCACTTTAACAGGCTGTGGGAAGATTAAGTCACTGTACGCAGAACCCTAAGTACAGTATCCACACAAAGAGGACTTTCACATATTTTTTTTAAATGTGCTATTTCTTTTCTTTTTTTCTCTCAAATATTCTCATGCTAAGAAGGTGAGAATGGAGGCCAGCAATGGGAACAAAAGTCTGGAGGAAAGGACTTCAAATGAACGCAAACGTGTGTGCATCTGGACTTGAATAAACTGCATGTCTAGAACAGAAGCACGCAAAGCTGTGGGTCCGCGGGTCGGCACAAGCGCTTCGCGCCTGCAAGCTCACAAGGCAGCATTTAAGGGAAAAAGTCTGGAGCAGACACACGGACACCCAGCACCAGGGAATCGCAGCCCCCTAACTGCTTTTCACTGAGCAGAACTACCCAAGTGGGCAACAGAATGGACACAATGTGTCTGGAACAGTATGCCAGTCTGGCAGGACATTCGTGGGCCTTGGGCAAACAAGGCTGGGTCACAGTGACAATTAGGTAGCCTTGTAATTACTGGGAGTTAACTGTGTTAGACAGAAAGACATTGGCAGGCCAGGAGACAGGTGGCTGGCTGCTACTTGAAAAGCAAAGATACTTCCTCCTGCTTTCTAATTGTCAGCTATAGGTAGAACCCATACAAACTCGTGGTTTCCAACTAGCTCAAAAGGGTGTAACATTCTCTTAGTGTGCTGGTAAGGTCTAGAGTGCAAAAGCCACATGCAAGTGCGGGAGGGTCTCAAACTAAAGGAGACAATCACCTAAGGAGTAAACAAGGGCCCACTTCCCTCTGAGGTAGGGAAACACGGGCATAGTGACCTCCAGGGAAGTAAAGATCTTCACTGAAAGAACCAGTCCATCTCAGAGTTATAACCTGAGTGAGATCGCATTCCGTGCAACTGCCCGCTGCTGGGGCTTGCCCACCTTCATGCAGCATTCTCACTTTCTCTGAGAAATCTTACAACATTTGCAACAGACTCTACTTCTACTCTATGCGATGGCCCGTGTCTCGTCTGAATCTTTGTGAACACAGGTGTGCTGCCAGTCCCTTGTGGTTGCTAGGAGCAAAGGCGGTGCTTGGCTCGAGGCCCCCACAGCCATCTGCACATTCCCACCCTCACTGTCCACCACCAAGCCCTCCGCAAGGGTGCCCCCTTCCTCCTCCTCTCCACCGGGAGCCCAGCAGAGGCTCACGTCCGCATTGCACCCCACCCTCCCTTGCTCCTGGGGTTCCTGACCAATGTTGCACCGTCCACCAGGCAATCTGCCCGGGGGTCTCCACTGCTCACCAATGAACATTCCAGTCATCGGCCGAACCCAAAGTCACTTTTCTGCCTTCATTTTTCGGCTGAGTTTGGAACTGCATTCAGGCCGGAAAAAAAAAAAAAAAAGACACATAATAGACGTACAGTACAAGAAAAAGGATGTTAGGCTTAGTAGCAGAAATTTAAAAAATGTTCACCACAGGAAGTTTGCTCGGCGTTGATCATTGTATATGTACAGCTAACGTGACCTTGGAAGGCATGACAGAAATGAGATCCCGCTCTGGGTCCTGCTCTACCTCCGCTGGCAGAACTCGGCCCTACGGATGGTGCTTCGCGAAAACACAACCCGCTGCAGCCCCGAGGAACAGCGCGTATAGGACGGTTTCCCCGGCGAATAGCGAGCTCTTCTCTCGAATGAACACCGTAGGGTTTTTGTTTTTTTAAATCTCATTTCAACTCAAATCGAACGGCTCAGACAGGCAGTAGAGCCAGCGTTACAAACCTGTGCTTGGCAAGCGAGGGGGCAGAACTCCAGGCCAGGTCTTCTGGCCCAGCCTGGCGTCTCCGCCCAGCCCGGAGCGCAGACAGGGGAGGGGCCGCAGCCTCCCGGCGCCGCGCTCGGCCTCCGACCCCCGCGGCGGTCCCGGTCCCGGTCCCCGC